CCCCCCCTCCCTCCTCATTCCACCACTATGTCCTCCCACGAAGACGACGGCCCTTCCCCTCTTACGAGAATCGCTCAATTAGAGTCTTTCGTAGAGCAACGGATGCCTTTTCGCCAGCGCAATGCGTTCTCTTTTCGGATCCCGATAAGTTCAATTATACGGTCCTTATTCAACGCTTCAGCTCAAGACTTCGGCGATCGGAAGTTCGGAAGTTCGGAACTATAATATCGGTATTCTCGGACCAGCTAGCTTTCGCTTACGGTACGGCTCAGCGATAGGATGCTAGGCTCCCCTCTCGCACGGCCAAGCTCCTTATCGGCGGTAAAGCTCTTGGCGGACCCACTACTCAACTCAATTACGTTTACTCCGATACGGCTCCCGGTCTTCACTCAACTATACGGACTCGCTCAAACAGCCAAATTAACGTTCCTTAACGTATACCGAGTACGCGCACGTCATTCAGCAACCTGAACGCTTTTCCGGCTCTCTCGGCCTTCCTAGCTTTTCGGTTCGTTTTTTACGGGTTCCTTTTTCCTTCCTTCCGGCCTTCGGTTTTTCGGCTTTTCGGCTCTTCGGTTCTTCCGGTCCTTTTGGTTTTTCTCTCGGCTCGTCTTACGGATTCTCTCGGCTCCCTCGGCTCCTTTCGGTTCCTCAAAACCGCCTTCGCACGGCCACGGGCCCCTCTCTTTTTCGGCGACTTAACCGACCTCCCGGTACTCAAGTATTTGCAGCACGTCATTTGCAGCTCGAGCACTTGCAATACGCTTTCGGTTCCTTCGGCGCGATAGAACTCGTCGCTCTCGGCAATCAAACAAAGACTCAGCTTTTTAGAAGATCGAAATCCCACCCTCCAGCATGCTCCTCACAGTTCCCTCGATCAGCAAGCTTATCAATCTACCCGTTGTGGTGCAATCAATTTGGATTGCGGGTGCTCCTTCCTTTTAGCTAAGCCTTGAACAAAGAGACGAGTTCTTTTCGAGAGAACAAAGGTCTAAGGGGGTTTGATTCAGACGAAAGGGAGGATATTTTGGCGGATTTGGACGCTTCTAGAAGCTACGATCGGTAGCTTCGGCGTATTTTTTTGGTTTTTTTTCAGCAAATTCCACCCGTGAACCATGGTTCACGACTGATTTTTTTCCCTTCTTCTGTCAGGTACTTTTGAGAGAGCTAGGACAGCTCTCTAAGGGGGTAGTGTGACAGCCTGCCTTGTTACCTGCAGTC